CAATAGTCATTCCCTTTAGCATTTTCTCCAGCACTCTCTGTATCTTCGCTGTTGGTTGCTTTTTTTGGAACCGATAAATTTCCGTCCCGCAGATTGTCATTAATTTTCTCTGTTGAGTAGACCTGCATTTGGTATGAAAATGCGCAAGAAGAGATTCGTAAGTTGATCTCACCAGAAGGCGACGGCTGATTTCCATTGTATTTTAGCCATTGGGCTAACAACGGTTAACACAGTCCGCACTAGGTCAAGACATAATGTTAACGTGAGACTTTTACAAGAATGATTTCCAGCTCTGACGATTTTTATCACATGATGGACGAAAGCTCCGTCCGTTTTCACCCGAATTGAGGGGGGATGTCTCTTGGGCTGCATCAACCTGAATTTCTTATTAAAGCCAAACTGTGGCAGTACACCGGGAGCCAGCCATCGTCTTCTGGTGATATCAATCTACGAATCTTCCTTCTGCACTTTCATATGAAATGAAGGTCTCCCAAACAATATTATTTCAGAAAATTAATCGGAACCTGTTCTTTATGATCACTTCTTAATGCGCCATAATTTTCATGATTATCTCAATTTCTATTTCTCATTTTGATTCTTCCCCTTATGACCTCTCTTATAATATCCTTCACCTTCTTTTCCTGATGTGGTGCAAAGTTCAATTCTTTATTGAGAATCGCTTTAGTTTTTGAATCAAGTTGGGCTGGAGGTGATTTCACTACATTATGTTGCTTTTTTATTTGATGTGTGCGTGTATCTTTATAAGAATGGGCTTATAGATTTTATATTTTAGACATCCTTCTCGGATGCCTCTTACTCATTATGTCTGAGATTCCTTCATACACTATGTCTATCATCATCTGCAGCTTCCGAAAAGTGTTAGCTTCATCTTTTTTCACAATTTGTCTCGGTGGTACCTGGGAAGGTGCCAAGGTGACGACCGACAATATAAATTGCCATAGTTATTATAAAGGCCTGACCACTAGATTTATTCCTTTTAAATATAGGGCGGTAATAAGGAAATTTGGAGGGTTAAGCTAATTTTCCTTCCAGTTTAAGAATCCAGCCTTTGGGGGCCTGTTGATTGACGCTAGAGTATGCGTGCCATCAAAGTTTTGTGATAGAGTGTACGACATAGCGCCTTGAGTAGCACGGATATAATGAAAGTGATCGAGTGAAACCAGTTAACCAGGAGCTTATGGGGTACACCTGGGCTTGGTTAAAATAAGCAGGTTGTAAATTATGATAGGATAAGTGAACTTACAAAAATAGTAAAGAAGCCATAAATATTCAGCAGACAGCTGTGCAAAGGATGGAGTTCGTTTGTCTCATTAATGATTTGTAGTGTGGTGCTACGACTGATAAGGCTTACTGACGATGCCGGCTAAACGTCTTAGATTGTACCAAGTCTATCGTCCGACACTTGAAATTATGATAGAAACTATGGCAGATGACTTTAAACAAGATGCGTTCATCTAGCCCCCCAATGGCAATAAGTTGCGAAAGCGTGGTGCAACCACTTTATAAAAATTTAACCACCTTATTCTCCCTTTCATATATCTCTTTTAATTTCTGAATAGAAACTTGGCTATACCTTTATAAAAATTATATTTCCTCATCAAGTTGCGAATTCCAATAAAGGTTGCATAACGCTTATAACAGTTTAAATGGCCAAGTAGAATTATTTCGTATGAATGTGCATGAAGAAGAGATTCGTAAGCTGATCTCATCAGAAGACGAATCATGTTGTACTGCAGCCATTTGGCTTTACTTTGACGTTCAAGTATGCAGCCCATGATACCTCTGCCCTCGTTTCGGGTGAACATCATCAGAGCTGGAACTAATTATTGTAAAAGACCAAAGTGTTGTAGATTTCTCTTTCTTTGTAGTTTCTTATCACAGTGTAGAATTGGCCTGGCCTAATTTTTATCTCCCTTGCTGCGACCTCTGAAATGATGCTCGAAGATGGGTCGTTTCGCACATCTTGCACTTTTCATGACGCTGTAAGTCACATCGAGGCAACTTCCTCGCCATTGAATGAAGTAAATATAGGACAAACTCGTGACCTCATTTGAGAATGCCAACTAGGACAATTTATAATGGTTCTTCCTGTATTATAGGTCAATCATTTGTCTTACCTTAATAAGGGAGGATAAGCCTTCCTTTATCGCACTTCCCTTTATTCTTTTCCCATTTGCATCATCCCTGATATTTTTATTCTGTATTGCCGGTCACATACTTTTTCAGAATTCTTTTTTATTTTGGTTGGCTCTCAATTTTATTCCAATGCTCCCGAGGATGCCTATTTCTAAGTTCATGTTCCCCATGCATCTCTTTATGTTTCTGCCCAGCTATGTTCATTTGATATTTTTCCCTGATGCTACCTTCATGTTTCCTTTTCGCTCGGTTTTCATCCCTATGTGCCTGCTTCTTTCTCTATCTTTCTACATTTTTTATTATACAAATATATACCTTTTCTTTTTTCTTATTGTATCTGTTTCTCGTTTTTTCTGGTTTATCAATGTTTATATCAATGTTTGTATCCTTCATTTTTCCTCTTATTTTTTATCTCTTCATATCTTCACCTTCCTCAATCTCGCAGCTTTTTCACCTCTTGTCCCATATCTTTATAAAGTCACCACACTCAGGGCCTTTTTCGGTATCCGCCCCGAGGTCTGCGAAATCACCACCGTCGACACCATCAAGGCCAGTTGCCACCAGCAGTTTGTCGCAGTTTACTAACAGCTGCAGCCCACCGCTGACAGGCTTAAAGGCCGTCTTCTCTAGGCGCACCTTTTTTCGACACTCAACAGTCCGTAGGGCTAGGAAACACAAAGGTAAGGAAATACTTTCGTTGCATATCAATTTCTGTCTCATAGAAAGTAATAATGCTTTTATTTCCTTTATCATCATTTTTTCCCTTGAGCGCCATATACTACCCTGATACCATATACGGATGTTTGGAAAGCATCTCTTGTGTATGCCTAAGCCGATTACGATAAGTCATTTTTACTTTAGATCAATAGATACTTGGCGCCGATTGAAAATATTAATGAGATCTTATTATTATTCGGTACTGTAGGTGATATCAATGAAAAGTAAGCCCTAATTTGTATTTATTTGGGATCACATTGCATAGTTGAAAGTGTGCCTGAATTCCGGTTTGCTTATTATAATCATGCGAGGTCAGACCTTCAGTCTATACTATGTGAAGGTGTCAGTTTTGAATGTGACACAGTGGGAGGCCATGAAAGGATTAACGATTTTTTAAATTTGTTTTTGTCAGACCAACGATCGTCATCAGAAAAGCTTTCGAGCAGTCTTGGATTCCGGGTCTTGACTATTACTATTTGATAGTCTTGATATTGTTATTATCGCCTCTTGCATGGTTCACAGTATGGATTTTATCATCCATTACTCTAGCGCCTTTCATTTGCGTTAGAGGCATGAATTTCATTGCAAAACTAGTCACACAACTTACATACAAGCAGGCAGTTTAGTATCTTATCTTTTTGAATTAACACC